GCAGTAGAGCTTTTACAGTACTACAGATGCCAAAGAGACTAAATGAGCTACTTTCAAACAATTTCAGGGTATATTTTATTGTATGTTTCCATTAATAATTTAAAGCAGAGTAAAAATACATTTTTGGCGTACAGGAGAAAGATTAAATACATTATTTGTTTCAAAATTGTGTTGAATGAGTTCTGTATGCCATATGAAAGACTGCGTAAACTATTGTTCTAAGAACACTAAACAAATATATATGGACCCCATCTCCCCAAAACTTAAACTATTGTATATTAAATAATATGCTTGAACTGGAATTGCCATACCCAGAAAACACAGCTTTTTTTTTTTTTTTTTAGTGCAGGTGGCAATGAAATTGTATACCATTCTTTGAAATACCTTTTGTTTACACTATGATTTGTTCTGTTTGACACTTTACAACACAGTTCAGTTTTAGGTGTTTTGTTTTTTATTCTTTAAGAAAATTGTCAGTATACCTCATTAGGAAATACTTGCTGATGATTCTGGTGCATTTATTCTATTTAAGTTTTGGAAAAATGTTATCACTGTAATAGCATAAATGGAACTAGAACTATGAAAAACACATGAAAGCAAGCCATTTTTATGTCAAAAGCGATGCACATGTAGCCAGTTAATTTTACTGTATGCAACATTTTTTGGTAGTCCTCTTAAACTAGTTGTGGAAATAGGATTAAAAGCAACTAACTTTGAAATTAGTATTTTAAATGTTAATAACTATATTAAGGCCTCACAAAGGAAATAAAATGATGATAGAATAGTAGTCATCACGTAAAGACCATGAATGAAAATGCAAGCCAAAATTTCTGTATGCTCTCAAATACCTCAAGGTCTAAATACTAACATAGACAGCTCTGAAGAGACTTGATTTTCCTGAGCTGCTGTTAGGTTAGTAGTGGGCTTTGGAGCCTAATGCTTAACATTGACTATTCAAGTATAATTTCATTGACTTTGAGCATTTCAGTAAAGAACCTTTGTGAATCAGGGACTTCAGGCTGTAGATCCGGCTCTTCTGAGGAATGCTAGAGATTTGACCAGACAGTGTTTGAAATTCGGTAGGAGTTGGATCAAAGCCTTTATTCGCTCTTTCTTTTTAATGCAAACATGATAAATAAATATTCTTTTGTTATATATAAAGGGCTTTTACTTAGTTTTTCAAAACCAGCTGCTGACTGAAGCCAAGTAAGCTATTAATCTGTCTCTTCAGGGTGATTTCTGACATGGTTTTTACTGTATCCAAAGTAAATCTGATACTAGTGTAACATAGATGTGCTGTAGCTGTTCCAGTTGATGTTATCAAGGAGAAGAGCTTAATATTTTTTTATGGACTGCATACCAGCTAAGATGGGAAGCCATGAACTGGCAGATAAATAAGAAATTTGAGTAGGAGCAAGTTTCATTTAGTTTTAATTTATGGTCTGATATTGATCTCTGCTGCAACACTGAAACAGAGCAATAAAAGTCAAAGCACAGGCGGAGTAAGGTGCCCAAGTTCTGCCTCCTGTGTGGCGACAAACTACCTCTTGATGATTAGGTGCAGAGCAAGAAAATAGCGTAGAAGTCAGAGGACTTCTTCCAGAAGCAGAGATCAATCCACAGATTGTCTATGACAGGCATGGATTTGAACAGAGCCTTAAAAACAATAGAGCACATATTGCTGTCTGTGTGTGAAACAAATTAAATAGTCTTTATGAGCATGTTTGAATATTTCTTTTCCCCTTTCTCCAGCACCAGTGCTTTGTATCATATGGAGAGCGCCAAACACAGTTTCTTTCATAACATTTTCAGATGGTTGCTTTTTGAAGTGTTACTTTATTTCTCCACCTTGCCTTCCATTTTGATTCTTTACCATCGGAAGTAAAGTCGCTTCTTGATTTGACCCCTACATCAGAAAATCACTAAACAAGACCAGTAGTTATTAAACACCTGGCTACCTCTTATATGCATCTATCGTTTTAATTTAAGATTGCTTAATAGAGTATGAGACAAACATTAGCATTGAAGATTAGTTCTAGCATCTTTATTCTAGGGTAACTGAAAGGTCTAGGATCCTGAATTGCCTTTAAGAAATCTTTGACTTAAAAACCTTCTTTTATCCCCAACGGACTTGAAACAAAGGGATAGCTGAGCAGCTTTGGAATACATTTTAATAAATATTTTTTTCTTTTTTAAAGTTGATTGCCAAATTATGTGTATTCCATCATAATGTTGTTGTGGTTTAACTGAAACCAGGACAAATATAAGGAGATGTTTGGAAAGACACATTCAATGCATGTTTGCCATAACTGCTGTCCCCTGTATTTTACCATCTAAGTATGCTTTTATTTGGAGCAGTCACAAACTGTACTGTCTAAATGAAAGAATGGAATCTTTATTTTGTAAATGAAAACAACTTAAAGTTGTTGTAAATATTCCTGTGGATATGTATCATTTTTGTACAAATAAATTCACATTAGTTGAGTCTGTGTTTGTTTTTGAAATATTTTCAGGCTTCGTGTGTTGTGTAATTCATTTATTCACTGCTTTCCAGGCAGCAGAATTTGCTGCCATTATCCTGCAGATCTGTCTTACTTGGAAGTCTGTGCTATGCTTTGCCCTAACAAACAAAAAAAGTACAAAAAGGTGTAAGCTGTGCACACAGACCGACAGCTTGCTGCTGGATCTGACAACCTGACATAGCGGTTTTAAACGCTCCTGCTCACGTCAGCCAAGACACTACTTACACTTAATACAAAGACAATGTGTTTGCCGTGAAAATTATTGCCACCTTCCTGCCCTGCTATCTTTCCTTAGCTACCTCTTGCTGTGTAGTTCTTGGCTTACTGTTCCTTCTTCCCCAGCCCCTCAAACTAAAAGCCTCTGAGTTCATGACGTTTGTTTTCTATCGAGCCCGGCTTGCAGGACAACTGCAACAAAAATTTGTTCCTGCACAGTCCCACCTTGTAGGACACCAAGTAGTGGGGCCTTATCTCCTGAAGCCACCCCCAGCCCTGCGGAATGACAGCCCTGAGCTTCATCAGCCCACGGCTGAGTGAGGCTCCCTCTGCCCAATGTGCTACAATGCAGTGTGATTTACAGGGATGTGAGCAGAACCCACAGCTGCAGCAACAGCTGATGAGGATACTTCAATCCAAAGAGAAAGTACTTCATTAATGCAATTGTCTTGAATGTTTATTGGTGGAGCTAAGTTGGTTCTGGACCACAAGATGCTGAATACGAGGGCTATTCTGTCTTACATTGAAAATTGCTCAGAAATCATGTTGTCTCTTACTTTTGTGAGGACACAGGATTTTTACTTGTCTTCCCCTCTATAGTCACAACTATGTGAATTTTTCCTGGTGCTGTGGTCATGTTTATTTTTTGCAAAAGAAAGTAATCCCATCATCCTGCTTTTAGTGGTTACTGCATCTGATGCTCAAGCTTTGTTTTGAATTTGTTGAAATTAATTCTTCAGCACATCGTTAAGAATAGACATACTGCTGGCAAAGAAAGGATCCTAAGAAACAAGCATCCTAAAGAACTAGATTTGCATCTATAGATGAAAGGTGTTGCATTAATAAATCCTTTCACAAAATCCAATTCTGCTGTATCTATTAAAGTATGCCTAAATCACGCAGTTTCTGTTTCTGTTGGCACAAGGATTTCAGCAGGGCCTGTAAGGGAGAGATTTTTCTGTCAGGTTAGTTATGCTGCCTCCTTGTACATCTCTGACGGATGTTTGAAAGCAGTTCTTTTAGTAACTTGCAGTAACAGCATAAAGGATTTTGTTTCTATATATTTTTGACAGAGATGACTCGTAATCCTGGCTGACGCAGCTGCATGGGCATGCCTTTCTAATACAGACCAAGTACGAATTGGGTCACTTGCTAAAAAAAAAATCAAAACATTTTTCACTGGTTAGTGACATTTCTGCTCTGTTGCGGGTATTAAAATGTCTGTATGAAATGAGCTTTAGTGCAAGCTCCTTGGCATTAAATTAAACTGCCATAAGCTTCATTTAGAAGGTGGACGTGCGAGTCAGGCTAGCATGGGAATTGACTGGGTACCATAAGTTGAGAGTGGTGTAATATTCTACACTTGCAAGAAATGCTTAGCAAATTAATTACTCTAATTTAACATTTTTCCATAAAAAAAAGGCTTTTGTGATGTGTTTGATCAGAAAGCAAAATATGATGCTTGCAAATACTGAACTAGTGATCTTGAACTGGAGTTGCTGGATGCAACTATAGCTGTGGGATGTTGGAAGGAAAAGCAGCGAAGGAACTGGCAAGATGAGAGTGTGAATGATGACCTTATTGCCCTCTGCAAGTACTTGAAAGGAGGGTATGGGGAGCTGGGAGTCGGCCTCTCCTCACAGGTAACTAGCGATAGGGCTAGAGGGAATGGCCTCAAGTTGTGCCAGGGGAGGTTCAGGTTGGAAATGAAGAGACATTTCTGCTCAGAAAGCAGTCAGGCACTGGGACGGGTTGCCCAGGGAGGTGGTGGAGTCACCGTCCCTGGGGGTGTTCAAGGAGAGGTTGGACGTGGTGCTTGGGGACACGGTTTGGTGGGTGACATTGGTGGGGGGGGGATGGTTGGACCAGATGGTCTTGGTGGGCTTTTCCAACCTTTATGAGTCTATGACTCTATTAAATGTAAAGTTATATGGTGTTTGATCGTATATCTGCTTTGGTTGATGCTTGTACCATCTGATTCAGTACAAATTGTGTCAAACGGTTTGAACGTATAAACGGGTTTCCGACATTGAAGCCGTGAGTACAGCCTCTGCGACCCTCAGGTTCCTGCCGGTCTGTCAGCACAGCGCTTACGACCTTCACTGAACAGATGGAAAAGGACGGGGGAAAAAAGGCAGACAGCGGCAGAGGAGCCGCGGGCTGCTGTGGAAGCCGCGGGGCGCTCCCGCCCGCAGCATCGCCTCGCTCCAACGGCCGCGCGCCGCCCTGAGGCGCCGTTAACGGCCGCGGGGGGCGGGGCGAGGCCCTCCCTCTGCCGGGGGGCTCCCTCCGTGCGCAGCCGCGGCGGGGCGGGGGCGGGGCCGCGAACTCTGACCCCCGGCTCGGCAGCCGCCGCCGCCAAATAAAGCCGCCGGAGCGCCGCCGGGCCCGCAGGTGAGGCGCCTCCCCCGGCCGCGCGGTAGCGGCCGTTAATGGCCGTTAACGGCTATTAACGGCCATTAACGGCCGCCGCCCTCCTTCCGCACGGCGCGGTGCTGCCGCTCCCGTCCCGTCCCGCGCCCCCCGACCTTTCACCTACAGGAACCGCTTGTGCCGCCCGCATCCGGGCAGCGCGGCCCCGCGGCGGGGAGAGGCGGCCCCGGGCGGCGGGTGCCGGGCGCTGGGCGCTGCCCCCCGCGGCCCCGCGCAGCCATCTTGTGCGCGCCCGGGCCTGGCCTGGCCTGGCCTGGAGGGGCGGCCCCCGGCGCTGCTCCGCGCCCCGCGACCTCGCTGCGGGCCCGGCGGGGCCCTGAGGCGCAGCCCGGGGCCTCGGGGTGGGGCTGGGGAGGGGGCAGGGGGCGAGCGCCGCGGCCCTGCAGGGGAGGGTTTGTTAGCGGGGTCACCGGCACGGCGCTTGGGAAGAGGAGCGGGGGCTTCGCGTGTGCTGTGCTGGGGAGGCAGTGTGCACCTGCAGGCTCTCGCTTATCTATAACTTCAGATTATTTTTTTTCTATAACAGCATTTTCTGCATGAAAATAACTATAAACATATATAATTTTTTTGCCTGTTAGTCCATGGTGGCCACTTACACCATGAGATGTCCTGCTCCTGCAGAGCAGTTAGCCTGCAGCTTGCTCCTTCCTTGCTGTGCAGCTCTCCTTGGGGATGCTTGGTTGAGGGAAGTCTTAAAATCTGAAATGCTTGCCTGCTTCTGTCTGTGATTCTTCCTCCAGAAACATTGCAGGTCCTCTTTTGTCACAGGACCAGATGTTTTCACGTGGTGGTGGTCAACTGCGTGTCTGGCAATGTAAGGAGCACAACCAACATCTCCTGATGTAGCCCAGGAATGGGGAGCTCAGCTATGTATACAGGGATAGAGCAGGGTCAGGTTGTTAGCTTGTATGCATTTGTTCTGCTGGCAGAAGTAATAGGTTTCCTCTGTCAGCACTACAGCTGCAGAGGGCATGCATCCCTTCCTCCTTCAGCAGCTATCCTGGCTTAAGCAATCCTTGTAGTAAGCTTTGTCAACTGCAGTTACTTTGGTTCAGACGGGTAGGGGAGCTCTCATGTGAGTATCTGCTTTCACAGAGCAGAGGGAAGGTTAACAGCCACCACGAGAAAGTGGTGAGCAGCAGGGCATGCGTGTGGGGGTGGCCATCTGTGATGGGCACAGCTTTTTTGGTGCACACACAGGCCTGTAGCATGCAGCTCGCCAATGACCAGTGGGGAAAGCTGAATGATACCTAATGGTATGTGGATGTTCTGGTGATACAAAACATCCACATTAAAGTTTTTTTTTTTTTTAAAACAGTTAAATGAACTATCTCTCTTCTTCAGTGCTGTTTAAACCTGCTTTCAGCATTTTAAACCTGTGCCAATTCATTATTGGTGTAAGGTAAGCTGCCACAAAAGAGAGCTTTATAAGCATGAAAAATGAAGGATAAAATTGGCAGAGGCGCAGTTAATCAAATTCTTGTGCTGTCCGTATTCATACCTTTCAGTCATCAGCCTTGTATTCCAGAGATGCTGCTTTAAATTGTACCAACCACAGTCTCAAAGCAACAAAGGATTTATCTTCTGAAGAATTACTCTTCATTTTCAATTCTTGGAGATTAGAAGGACTTCAGTGAGTCCCATGTATCTTGTGATAAAGTACTGCAGACTTTGTAAGGAAGGATGAGCCTTTCTGAAAATCGTGGTCTAAAAATTGCCTTTCTGTATCAATACTTAAATTAATTTTCTTGGTTTGGCTGGGCCTCTGTGGAAGGCTGTTCAGATTTTAACTTGAAATAAATTTCTTCAGCTTGACATCAAGACAGGCTGGGCCAAATTAAGTATTTGACTGCCGTTGTAGGAAGTTAAACCAGTAACTTGAAAAATGCAAAGCACCAAAAGCTAAAGCCAAACCATCTTGTTTTGTCATATTAGCTCTAATTAGCAGTTATTTCATTCCGAATAAGTTGAGGTTGCTAATCATAGCTTGGGAGTAAATTTGTGGTGTGAAAACTGCCCCATTTATTTTGGTAATGATTATTCTGGAGTATGAGTAGGACCGTGTAAGTGTCAGCGTGACTAATGCTTTCACTCCTCACTACTTAGTCTGAATGTATTTCCCAGGGCGCTTGACATACGTGTTCATAGGAATTAAAAACAACAAAAAAAAAACTGTTAAAATTTAATCCTGTGATTCTGTAGAGTTGATAAAGAAACAGCACAGGAAGAAAGTGATGATATTTATGATATTTACGATATTTATAAAGGGTTGTTTTTGTTTTTTTTCTGAGGCTGTTAACACTGATTACTGGAAAGATAAATTCAGTATTTTTTTTTCCCGAAGGAAACTTCTGCAGACAGGAACGTGTGTGAGTTGTGAGGGGGGCAGTAAGTGGTAGTACTGCTGAATAGGTTTGCGAGTCCTTTCTGCAGCGTGCCTTCATTTCTCAGCTACCCGTCTGCAGTTGTGTGTGTGCTCTGAGCAGGCATGTCACATCACGTTTCATGACATGCTGCCGTCGCACAGTGATGGCTGTGTTTTAAAAGGACTTGTGCTTGCTGTGTGGTGTTGGTGCAGTCCCTGTGTGCCAGGTAGGAGAAGTGACCGGGCCGAAACTAGCCTGGTGAAGGGGGGAAGCACTCAGCCAGATGCACTGCCTGATGGGGTTTGTTGTGCGGCTCCAGCCGTGGAGCCAGCGCGCTTGTTTTTCTTCCTGTGACAGCGCATGGGCTTTGCCAGCCTCAGGGAGATGCAGTCTGTGATGGGAGGTGTGCCGGGCAGCTTGGCATGCTGAGATGACTTTCCTACACCTAGCTCTGCTGCTTGCAGACAGCCCCTCGCAGCTTCCTCTGTCCCGTGAGCTGCCTGAGCTCTTGGGTGCTTGGGCTGCTTCTGGAGGTGCTGCACAGGCCTGCAAGTGAGGCTGTCCCCTTTGGGTGGCCTAACCTGGAGGAGGGACTCTGCAATCTCCTTAAAATTCAGCCTAGCAATGCTCTTTCCTCCCCCCCTCCTGCTCTAACTCTTGCTTACATGAAAAATTAAACATAGCAATTTTAAAGCTGCAAGAGCAATAATTCTAAATGAATTGCACAGGCATGGCTGCCAGTGCATCTTTTTCTCTATTGCTGTGTGCCTTCTAATTATTCCCTTGGGCGTGTACAAGCACCTCATCTTCCCTTGCCTGCAGGTTTGACTGCTGCAGTTCCTGTGGTTCCGTCTCTTACATATGTGCTCACTAAGACTTGGTGTCTCGCAAATTCAATAAACGCTATCTGACTGGGTGTCAAGAGCCACATAAATATTCCTAAGCTCATCGATGAAGAGAATATTACTCCTTTGAGCCTGACAACTGTTGTACCATCTTGAGCAATATGGCTTATAGAGTGATAATCCAAGAACAGATCACTTAGGTTTGTGTGTTCATTGAGCTTTTTCATGTATGAAGCATTGAGCAGAGTAGTGTCTTGTGTCTTACAAATGTGTTTGCATTCCTTAGGCATAGCTGATGATCCGCAGAGCATTGCAGGATACTGCTCCAGAGTTCCACGAACTCTTGTTAAAACAAGTAACAAACCTCCTGGCTCTGCCACATTTAATCACAGAGGGATTAAGTGCTTTCCGTTTTATGTGCAGGTATTTATTAAACAAGTTTGGCAGTCGGTTGTGCTGAATTCTTAATTAGCATGCGATGGGAAGGGAAGTGAGGCCTAGTTTCCATTTTGAGGTACAGCGCAGCTGTGAGCCCCCATGTGATGACCTGGGCTAGACCAGTATATCCTTAGTTTGTTTTCTGAGGTTTGTTGAAATCATTTCATACTGAAGCAGTATGACTACAGAAAGAGATTAAGTCAGTTTCTTCTAAGAGGGAATTATTAATTATTAACTAGCTTTCCATTCTATTAACATTTTGAGCTTTTCTAAAAAATCACATTGATCTTCCTACAATTCTTTTTAAGGAAGTAAATTTCACAGTACCTTCTGCAGTCATAGCTAGTTAGCATGCCTGTACCTCTAAAGCATCTGCAAAGCTCTCCTGTAACTATTAGTTCAAACACACATCTTATCTTTTACAGCTGTATCTTTCTCAGGTGCATTTGATCCAGAAAAGACCCCTGTCTTAACACCTTCCACATGTCTGTGGAGTCATTACTGCTATCATTATGCATTCAATATATATTTTTAATATATGGAGTCAAACTGGTTTGACAGTGCCAGGAAAATCAGTTAAACTGCTCATATTTTATGAGCATCGTGTTTGCAGCATTAAAACAATGCTGGGTCAGGTTTCTGACCTTTTTTGGGAAGTAATCTGGAGATCTCTGGCCTGAAAGCATTTTTCACGTGCTGTACCTTCATACTGGATGCGGTCTGTTCTCGTTCAGCTGAAGGGTGTTAAAGCAGAATCGAGATAATTTATAGTGGGGCAACTATACCAATAATAAAATGTAATGTAACTGAACAAGAGATGTTACCATTTGTATTAACTGGAGAGTCCAAACATCAAAAAATAATCTTACTGCAGTTGCTTTTGAAGTCCTTAATCTGCCCTGGTATAATATTTTGGCATGCTATTAGTCAGAAACTTCCTGCTAAGATAATTAAGGTCGTGTAACTTCTGTCCCAGGAGAAGGATAAGAGTTACCCTTTGATGTCTTCTGGGTGTAGCTGTACCAGCAGAGGGATTAGAGGCTGTCAGAGCTACTGCCTGTTCTCATGGGAGTGTTTCCTACCCATTTTTGTAGGAGTAAGCCAAAAGCAAGCAGTTTAAATGATTCTTTCCTGAGTTATTTTGACTAGATCATCGAGAAAACTACGGCACATATGAGCTGAGAAAATGGAGGAGAGTTGTTGAGTTTTAGTGCAAGATAATGAAAATCTTCCACTGGTGCCATGGCTCATGGAGTGCTTACCTAAAGTCACGATGGAAAAGCATGGGTTGTGATGCCAGCTTCAGTGCTGA